ATATCCGATTGTTTTTGAAATTCTTCTTCTTACACAATTTCGTACGTGATTTACTGCTTCGAGTTATCGCATTCCGCTTTATCAGTGCGATAAGTTATCGGCATTCGAAACGAGTTTACTGAGAAAAAAAACTGTTTATAATTGCGAAAATACTTTTAATTTTTGATTAAAATAATTATAATCTTAAACTATATATCGTATTTTGAAGTGTAAATTTTATTTTCCCGGCCGCATAACAGGGAAAGTATGGCGGTCAAGAAATGATGCCGCCGCTAAGATTTTTACATTTTTGGACTCGGGGTGCTTTCAAACGTCGAGAAATGAAGAAATTTATTATTTTTTAAAAAATAAAACTCGTTTTTATCCTCAAAATTAAGTCTTTTGCCATTTTATAATAATAACTTAAAAGTTTTTTTAAAAAAAAATATCGCGTAACAGATGGCGTTATACACAATTTTAAACTTTTTGACGGGAAAGTCACGCAACTCATTGCTGAATTTTTTTCGATGGAAATTGGATTGGTGACATAATAAAGCAACACAACATATAGGCGTTTTAGATTGTACCTTAACCCGTTACGTTAAAAACGAGCGAGGAAACGGGGATATTCCCCCGAAGAAAAATGTCTGAAGTCAACACTATACAAGGGGTTCCGTAATTCAAATTTGCCCGAACCATGATTATGAATTGGAAAAAAAAAAACCATAGTTTATATGTGAAACTGAGTTTATAGGTTGCCAATCCCACACTCTCGGGGCCAAAATAGTACAAAATTTCCGGTGTGCCGTCTCTGTCGTTGGTCCTACAATTGTACTAAAGCTTTGTTTAAATTGTATTGTTGTTTCTACGATCGTCCAACAACGCGAAGTACGTTTTGCACTCCCTCCAGGGGTGCAACTGAACGTCAGCCACTGCTTCCACTAATAGTCTCTTCCGACCTAAGAGAAAATCAAATAAGAGAAGAAAGATCGGCCCAAGCGAAATTTTGCTAGAAATTCTTCTTCTATTATAAATATAAATGAACCAAAAGGCTCTTTTCAGAGCCAGTTTATCATCTAAAGAGGAGTCAGATCGTAATAAATACTAGTCAACAGTAGTATTACTAGTAATTGATATTCATGTACAGTAGAACCTCGATTATCCGGACTAATTGGGGATGAAGGTAGTCCGGATAAGGAAAAATCCGGATAATCGAAACAAATATTTTAATTTGTCTTTTAATGATAATACAACACGTTTTCTTTTCGATGACATATCGGTAATATTAAAAATAAATACTGTATTTAAATCGTGATCAAATTTTCAAGAAACAAACGTTCGTATTGAATTTGGACTACTACTGACCAGTGCTAACAGATTACCTATTGTTTAAAAGGTGGCGCAAGAAGACGGATTTTATAAAATAAAAAGCAGTTGAAACTGCATTTTAGGAGGTGGCCCAAGTTGCCCATACGCCGCCCTTGGTCATAGAAATGATGTAATTTGGATATAAATTATTTATAAATACGTATGTCAAATTATATTTTTATTACGACGCAAAATATATTTAAGAGTTTACGACCACTGTGCAGGGTGAGATGAAACGAAAAAAAGTTATGCATTCCATCACGTTCATAAACAGTATCGTAATTCGTCAAGTGCAAATTAGCAACTTCATATAATTTTTGTTTATTTTGAACAATCCGGATAATCGAAAATCCGGATAATAGAGGTCCGGATAATCGAGGTTCTACTGTATATTGTACTCTTATTTGTACGCATTATACTTAATTAACAATTGTCTGTATAAACTGTGTTCCAGTCAGGCTTACATCTATGGTTCCAAGAGAAATTTGAATACAGTAGAATTCCTATTATCTGAGGTAACGTGGAACGATGCTACTTTGGGTAACCAAAACCTCTGATAAAACGGGCCGCCCCGGCCATTTCGAATATAAAACATTTACAGATAAATCACTTTTGTGTGTCTTTTCATATCTTAGTAAATTTAATCATAAAAAGGAACATTTTGTATATCATTCATTATATACCTAATACATACCAGGCATCGTTGTAAGGTTTTTTTCCTACTGCACAAACGTCAATCCTTGGGGAACAAAAGCCTAGATTATACATTTTGTTGAAAATATCGATGTGAAACTTTTAAATTACTAGTACTGTCGTACTGTCTGTGATTGTATTGTAAAATTTTCCATATTTTCTTTACACTTAAATATGGCCTACGTGGGTGACGTAGATGACTGTATAATAAAGTAGACTTATCTACGTGAGACTTTTGAATCATCTCATTTGAAAAATCAAAATTATAACCTTTTACTTTTCTGGCTGTTATGTATACGTAACAAGGGAAAGTACTGGAATTGTGTCAACTTTGACCTTCAGTGTTTTTTTCCATATCTCAATGTTTCGGAATCTCCTAAACCCAAACAAGTCAAAATTATGGGAAAAATATTGTGCGCGCAACTGAATGAGATAAAAATTGAAATTCAAAAAGCACTATATAGCACAATGCTTACATTTTTGATTTCGATGATTAATTAATGTTAACTCATTTTCAAAATGGTGGCGTTCGCTTCAGAACAACCTGTTTATTGTAAAGAATTATCATCAAAATTCTAAATCGGCACTGCACTACACCGGGATAGAATAATCAAAAAACGACGTACAATGAACCTGTTTCCGGTGTGCTTCTCTGTAAACGAAGTATTACTAGCGCTTTCGAACTTTAAGTTCTTCCTCAGGTAACACACCACACCGGAAACAGGTTCATTGTACGTTGTTTTTTGATCAAAATTCTAATTCTCTGATCAATGCTAGCTGAGTTATTGGACCATTCTTCTTCGAAAAGAATATTACTTCTGTTGCATATGTTGAATTATTGGAAAAGGTTTTATCCCAAAATGCTTGTTGGGCATAAACATTTGTTGCTTTGTGTGAGGCTCATTGCACAAATCAAGTGCTTAAAAGTCTTTACAGCATGTTTGAATTACAAAAAATATGCTGGTAGCAGCGTGGAGTGGTTGCCTTATAGTACCATAAAAAGATATCACATGGGTTTATCTTAAAGAAAGAGTATATCACAATACTCCTACAACCATTGAAAAGTTGATAGACATGATAAAAATAATGGTGTTTCCAAGAAAGACCTTTGTTACTGTTATTGAATGTTTCAAAAATTGGTTAAAAACTATTATTGTGAGCAAAGGTAGTCATTTTGAAAGCCTAATTCATTAAATGGCAATAAATTCTGTATAATATGCTTTTTGAATGTTCTTTTTATCTCATATAGTTGGAAAGTTATTAAAGATTTGAATAAACTAAAAATCATCCTGTACATGTTACATACTTTATTTTTGTGTGTAAATAGAAAAATCCCAAAGGACAGTTGATATCTACCCCTAAAATTAACAAATGTACATAAAAATAAAGATAATGATTACATAAAATTAATATAACTTATATTACATTATACATTAAAACAAAAAAGTATAAAAGTTCTTCGAAATAATTTGTTTTTGAAGAACATGTGATGCCCAGTTTCAGGCTATGAAGGACAGCCGGCTTAGGCTGTAAATACTATTGGTAATGGTTTGTGACAATCAAACTTTTGAAGTAGTGTAGAAAATGCCTTGTAGGTGACAGTGAGCCAAATATCACCAGTTAATGGCTGAGGAACGACACCTTATCCTGAGCTGCGCAACCTCAGTTTGTCAATGTGCACAATTGCCACGCACGTTGGGCATAACATGAATATCATCCAGAAATGTATGAAACAATGGCCACAGGAACATCTGCAAACATGTCAAAAAGGGAAATCACACTGGCATGTGGCAGAGCACACATACCAGCAGATTTTCTAAATGCCCTGTTGGGACCAGGCATGTGATGTGAAGCCACCTGTCACCATCAACTGGTACATCTGTGTCCACCCAAACTATTCACAACAGGTTGCATGTAGTCGGGCTGCAACGGCAACCAGCAAGCCATTAACCGCTCAACATGGGGCTGAATGCCTGGCATGGTATAGTCATCATCACAATTGGACCACTAAATGGCATCAGGTACTATATACAGATGAATACCACTTGTCTGTGGAGGAATGACAGCCATGGACAGGTATGGCAGTATCCACACTCCATTAAACCTATCACATGCCAAATAAGTAGCTCAGTCATCTGATTTTGGGGGGGGCTATATCTCACAAAGGTCACATGTAGACCATCAGTTTCTTTTGACTTTTTTTACTTCTATGGGCATAAGATAGTAGTCCCAACTGCTTCATTCAGAGTTGCAGTTGTACCATTCTTGGTGCATAACTTTTTTATTAATAAAGTGTATTTGTTAAAATTATTTTATAAATCTCAAAATTAAAGAGAGATATTTATTTTGGAAATTTTGAAGTTGACATTAAACTTAAAAAAGTCACATATTTTTATATCATCAGGATAATTCGTGTCCATCTTCAGAAGATTTTTATACTTTTGTTTTGATTTAAATTTTTGTTCTATATATTTTCAATGTTTCTGTTGTTTATTTTATTGATTTAAAATGATTTGAATTTTATAGACAAAATTTTCATTGTAGAATGTGTATTTAAACTGTGTGAAAAAACATTAACCTATACTAAATGCAATGGATAAGATTTATATTTATTTTGGCAATGCAAATCAATTTTTAATTACATTACACAATTATTCAGATTTACAAATACAAAATCTGTAGATGAAAAATTTGTATAATCAACTTCATAAATAAAAATTAACAAATGAATAAAATAAAAAAGTAAAGTCTTTATCAGAAAAATAACAATAATTAACAAAAACAATTTGTAAATAAAATTTTTTTTACAAAATTGATAAGTATGATATTCTTTTACCATATAAAAAATAAAATATTTACCATTTAAAATAATTAAAATATTCTTCCATTTTGATAATGTAATTCTCAAAGTAAATTATCATAAGCAAATATTCATGAATAAATATTTTATATATTCATTCTTTTTTCTAAGTTCTGGATTCAAGTAATTTAATTTCACGTTGTATGTTTCTTTTGGCCTGATCTTCATACATTTCTCGAAACTGTTGAGTCGAAAAAATGTTCGGTATTTGAAGAAAAGATTTTAATACCTATAATTGTACAGGAAATTGATACAAATTCAATAGAAATATTTAGAATATATCAACATTATAAGGATAACTGTTAAAATATTTACCTTTGCTCTTAAACTATTGTAGGTTGTAACTGGAAGAAAAGAATATTCTTGTCGAATGTTTTCGGCATATATATCATATTCTGTTGAAGAAAAATTTAGTGTATATGCATATGATTTGAATTTTATTATAAACATATCTATTAAAAAATGGCTTTGAAATAACAAAAATCATCATAACACATTATCTACATACTGACCGTTCCCAAATAAATCTTTAAATCTAGCAAAAATTTTTAATGAATGAATGCTTTCTACTATCTTATGGCCATCTTCAAATTCCAATGTCAGTAATAAGAAAAAAGTCTACTCCACAGCATAGAAACATCATGAATTCTATATTTTTGGAATTTCTCAATTCAATATTTATTGTAAGATTTAGGAACAAATTCTATTCACTTGATAGAAAATAATTAACAGTTACAAAATATTAACTATGTTAATTTAACAAAATATTTACATTTTTTGCATCCAGGATAAAGATAAAACATGAATAAAGCTGCAATATTTAAGGTCTTTTAAAAAAATATTCTTAGCTCTTTATGAAACATATATGCAGAGTGCTAACAACGGTCTCTCCCTGACCAGTTATTTCAAAAATTAATAGGGCAATAACTGTAGATCTTTTGTCGATGCATACTATATTGGGCATGTGCTAAATAATGGTGCAAATTTCTGCCCCTCCAGCCCATCTATTGGAAAGGGATGTTATAATCTCAGCTACTAATAAAAGTAGGGCAACATTGTCAATTACAGATTTGTAGCACATGAAAAAATACACACTATTATCTTTTAGTGTATTCTGAAATATCAAGTGGGATCCTGGAACAGACTGTCAAATATGACAGGTAATTGCTTCACTGCACAACACACAGCAGTATATAATACAAATGGAATTCTGCAGTGGTTGAATGTGGTTATATTTAGGTTAGTAGTGAAATAGTGAGCAGGTTAGCACTGTTTTATTTAATGGCATTTGATGTTTTCTGAATTATCAGTATATCCATATCACTAACTTAAACCTGACTACACACTCAACCACTTTGACAGCAGTGCATCACTGCATGACACAAATATAATGTCAGTGTGTGTTGTGGAGTGAAGCAATTACATGTCATATTTGACAGATGTTTCAGTATCCCATTTGACATTTCAGAATGTACTAAAAGATAATAGTATGTATTTTTTTTCATGTGTTAAAATTTGTAATTGACAATGTTTCCCTATTTTTATTAGGAGCTGAGATTACACAGCTCTCTCTCATAGACCAGCTGGAACATGTGGAAATTTGCACTGTAATTTAGTGCATGTCTGACATACTATACATTGGTGAAAATCCACAATAATTGTTGTATTAATTTTTTAAATAACTGGCTGGGATAGAGCTTTTGTTATCACCCTGCATCAATTTTAAACAAATATCATTGCACAATAATCAGTAATTGAAATATTCAAGCGTAAAAGATGGTAAGTACCATAATGAAAATTCACAGAAATTGCAAAAGTTAAATGCCTTAAAAAGTTTTTGCTTTGTCTTCTTTAATCAGAATGAAGTGCATGTTATAATTAAAAAGTAGATATAATATTTAACTTGAAATATTATACATTTCTGTTTAGATATTAACTCACATTAAAACATACTAATGGATATGGCATTTGCAATCTTTTACATCAAATGCTTCAATAATATAGAATAATTGTTATAAGTTTTCAATATACCTGAAAACTCTTAAAGCTTCATTTTTTATATTAGAATTAATAAGATAGTTTTGAGTAATTATGAAAAAATACATTCAACTCAAAAATCAAATTAAGTTACTGATGTTAAAAATTTATTACAGATTCATTTAAAATTATCTCAATTTTTTGAAAACTTTCAATAAGAACTCACACTATAATCATATTGGTGCAAGAATATAATTTTAGTCCATGAAATTAAATTAATTTTAAGTCTTCCTCTCAATGATTTTCAAATAATTCATTACATACAAGGACAGTGATAAGAACATATATTAGTATGAACAACTTTTTTAAAGTACTAAATAGTACAAACAGAGAGTTTTTCATTTTTCTGACAGTTTCAATCTTTCTTGAAAGTAATTTGATATTTAACCTCTTAAATTCTTAATAATCACATTACACATTCAAATAGCAAAATATCATTTAATATTTTAAAATATATACCTGTATATTTATTTAAAGATATTCTTAACTTATAAAAATAAACAAAATGCAAATATTTTTGTCTTAAATGGGTAAATAAAAGCTAAAGTATTTTTGTTTTATTTAAAGATAAGATAAAATAGTAAAATAAGGCAATGTTATTTGTTTTGTGTTACTCTAATCCTTTTTATAACAGAATATAAAAGATCTCCCAAAAATACCGTATATCTGTGCAGATAAGATGAAGTATATATTTTTGTCAAAGTTTTATATTTTAGCATATATCTGTCCTATAAGATGACCCCCAAACTATCAACATCCTATGAATTTAGTTTAGATCAGTGATCATCATCTGGATAATAATACTGCATAGCATATACAGAATTATGTCCTATTTGTAATTTTTCGAATGAACAAATTTTATTTTCTTGCATCTGACAGTACTGCTTTGCAATTATTGCAAACACTCGCACTGATTCGATAATTCGGGTAATGACCTTGACTATTCACAAATATATCATATGGGCTATTTAAATACATTGGTGAGTGATTTGTTTTATTTTATAACGGTTTTAATTTATATAAATTTCAATCTAATTTTGTTTTGTATCTGTCCTATAAGACAACTCCAGATTTTGGGGGCCTTTTTTTACGATTCAACTATCATATTATCTGCGCAGATATATGATAATTACCATTTTAAATTATTGTAATTACGTTAATTATTATCTGAGAAGTATGAGACATTCACCAATTGATACAGTAACTTTCCAAGTTTCAGCTGCCATCTGTACTGAATGTCTTGTGTCTACAACCTCTAGGAAGCCCTGTAAACAAAAATGTCAACTCTACAAAGAGAAAATGTTTTGTGTTCTGCTGTTTGCAAAATCAGAACCAATTGTAATTGTGCAACATCAGTAATCTGCAGGAGTTGTAGAAATGTGAGAGGAACTGATGTGGAAGGAGTGACAAGGGATTTGCCATAGCAAGCATAGGAAGAATTTGAATATCAGTTGATGTGTGCCATATGACATGAGCTATACAATGAGAAATTGTAACAGACAAATGTTAAACTTGGATAGATTTCTATTGTTTTAATGTACACTAAAATACACTAAAACATTCTTAGATAATAATTAACATAATTACAATACAGTAGAGCCTCGATTATCCGACTCAATTGGGGACTGGGGTTGGTCGGATAATTGAAAAGTCGGATAACCGAAAAGTATGAAAAAATCCATTATTAGTGTAGTATATTATTATATCCCATGTAATTAGTATATTAGTATATCGCTATTAACCTACTTCGTGTTGAATTTTCATCGATGATAATCGATGAAAATTCAACACAAAGTAGGTTAATAGTCACACAAAATAATAATCGTCGCTATTGTAGCGTTAAAAATTAGAAAATTAAGCCTCTGGCTCCCTTTCATGGTCGATCCAGTGTTGCCAGCTAAAACACGTAAAAATAATATTAAAGTAGCCAAGACATAGCCAAATATTGTAGTGCCACATCACTAGCGGGCATTTGAAATTTGCCGACTAGGACGGTCGGTTAACCGAGGTAACGGTTAATCGGGGGTCGGATAATCGATGCTCTACTGTAGTTTAAAATAGTAACATTCTTTTTGAAATACCCTGTATATGTTTAAATTTACAAAATTAATATTCATTCATTCAATTATGATGTAACAATTTTGAAAATATCAATATTAAACTTGCTTAAATTTTATTTGTATATTGATCTTGAGATTTTTATATATGTAATTATGATATTTCAAATAATTTTGATAACTAGAAGTCCAGTATATTTATAAATAAAACAAAATCATCTCTACAGGTTATTTTTTAATTTTGATACTTACCCTTGTTTTCACTACCAAGAATACTAACATCAAAATCCAGGAAAAAATGTTTATCTTCTTTTCCAAATATATCAGAGCTTTTGTGTTCTTCAGTAATATGAGTTTTAGTTAATAGTATTAATTCAGTAACTTCTGCAATTAGATCACTATTCTGAAATTAAAGATAAGTAATTTTAATTTGAAAATGTTAAATATTATTAATTAATTAACACATAAAGTTATGTTAAAATAATAAAATGTAACACATTATATAATAAAATCTGTACTTAAACTTTTTTACTCTTCTAAATAAAAACCCCAGCCTTTCTGAGAGTCAAAAGTACAGTAGAACCTCGATTATCCGGACCTCTATTATCCAGATTTTCGATTATCCGGATTGTTCAAAATAAACAAAAATTTTACGAATTTGCTGATTTGCACTTGGCGAATTACGACACTGTTTATGTACGTGATGGAATGCATAACTTTTTTTTGTTTCAACAACGTCTCACCCAGTGGTGGTAAACTTTTAAATATATTTTACGTCGTAATAAAAATATAACTTGACATACGTATTTATAAATAATTTATACTCAAATTACATCATTTCTATAACCAAGGGCGGCGTAAGGCATGGGCAACGTGGGCCACCACCTACGCCTCGCGGTCCAAAGGGCCTCACACCTGTTTATGCATTATTTAAAAGCCGCAAACGCGACAAAAACATTTTACTCATCATAAAATGATAAATAATTCGTCAAATTTTTATTCATAAAAATACAGTTTCAACTGCTTTTTATTTTATAAAATCCGTATTCTTGAGCCGCCAGAGGGCCTTTTAAACAATAGCTAGTTTGTTAGCATTGGTCAGTAGTACACAAATTTTCAAGAAACAAATAAAACACGATTTGATCACGATTTAAATACAGTATTTATTTTTAATATTACTGATATGTCATCGAAAAGAAAACGTGTTGTATTATCATTAAAAGACAAATTAAAGTATTTGTTTCGATTATCNAAAACCCCCATCCTATCATCCTTTTCAACAATAATGCAATGCAGAGAGATGAAGCAAAAGTTAAAGAAATAATACATGTAAACAGTTTTATTATTCCATTATTTTTCACGAAATGCATAGAAAATATCTAGCAACGAGTTTTGTAACTTTCCTGGCTGTTATGAGATTTTGTTTTAAAAAAAACTTTATATTATTGTAAAATAGCAAAAAAAGTTTAATTTTGACGATAGTGGAAAGTTTTATTAAAAAAAAAAAAAAAAAGTGGCTCCTGAAATGTTTATTAGTATTTTGTATTATTTAAATTTAATTGTCAATAAATGGAGTTGTTTTACAAAAAAAATTAAATTTGAGTACATACTTCTGAAATTGTAGCTTCTTTAGAAAATTGTTTAAAACGTTCTGCACTTTTTTCTTCATTATCACCGGCTTTTGGATCATATTCAAGACTAAAATAAAAAGAAAGTTATAAATTGCATTGAAAGTTCTCTTTAATAAATTCTGTAAAATTAAAGTTTGGATTAATTTTCTTTCAAAAATTAAAATCAATTTAGACAAAAACTTTTATTAAAATTAATAAGAATAATTACAGAAGTTTATCTGACAGATAAATACTTTCAAAAAAATTGGAAATTTTGAAGTTAAAATGGTTCAATTTTAACTTCAGAATTTCCAATTTTTTTTTAAAGTATTGATTGTAAATAAACACTCACTCATGGAAAAAAATGGCATATGCTACTGCTTTTGGAGATGAAATAAACTGTTGATAACTGTCAAAATGCTGGAACATTTTATGTATGTGTGTTATGTTATGATATTTTCTACAGTCTTCAGTATATTTATTCTGTATTATAGTCCACCAATTATTTCTTGCTTCATCACTCATACTGTCAGCGATTTTCCACCAACGTTGACGCAAATCCTCTAATAATTCATCTGCCATTGTCTGCTTCTAATAAAAATAAAAATATTGACCAAAGTAATTATAATCTATTTAATTAATCCATATAAACTTAATATTATGTTGCAAGAAGTCAGAGAGAATTGATATGTTTTAGAACAAGCAGAATCAGAATGAAAATGAAATTACTATACAAGACTGAATCTATTTTAGAATTTTTCATATCTAATAAATTAATTACTTCTATAAGTCATTTGTCCTTTATTATTGGCTAATTAAATAATTTAAATCCTTAGTGAATTCTGAAGATTTATGATAATTGTCTCAATATTTGGTATAAAAGCTTCCAGATGGATTAGAGGAGAAAGAACATAAAGAGAAGCAAATTACATGGCCTGAATAATGCATTGCAGAGCCATCCCACATAATCAAAAATAGGATGACTTGTCTTTTTTTATATTTTGTGTGTGTGTGTGTGTGTGTGTGTGTGTGTGTAGAATTCACTTGAGCTTTCCAATGTACATTTGTAACAAAACAAAAAAAAAAAAAAAAAAACACACAGCCAAAACCACAACTCATCTATTCACTTCATTTGGTTCTGTTTATTCCCCCTCCTCTAATGCATCCAAAAACCTCTTTACCAGATATTGAGACTTTTACTGTAGACTATGAATGAAACACATAAGGACTTTTTCCATTGGAAAATGACAGATGGTAAATTGATCTTTTATTATTGACTAAAATCAATAATAAAAGATCAGTGACTCCTAAAACCAAGCTTTTTAGGCTTTATTAATTTATTACACACAAGCCTTGGCAAAGTATTTTTAAAAGAGCAGGATTTAAAAAAGCATTATTTTTCATAATAATATAGTTTATTAATTTAAAATATAGATTATATAATAACAAAAGACAACAGCCGTACATTAAGTGTTTAACTTGAGGAAGAAGGGGAAGGAGGTGAGAAAAAGGAAGGGGGAGGATGAGGAGATGGAAAGAAGAGAAAGGAAGGATCCCTCTGAGTGATGTATGTAAGGTTATACTCCCTCTAGGTATAATGTTCATGTGCAGTTTTAGGCTGCATATAATCTATATACCCATGGCCTCCATGGGTATATAGATTACATAGAGTATTAAAATACAGTAACTGGAGGAGCTGAATGGGTACAAAATTATGTTCAACTACTCAAACTGGGTATATATAAATAAGTACTACTCAGAACCCTTATTCAGAAAGTATAAAAATCTGTATGAAAGCAAATGTTTTTGTTTGTGTTGAACAGTCATCACAAAGGTCAGTTAGAGTTAGCCTGATGATAATCATTCAACACAGTTGAAAATGTTTGCTTTCATGTATTTTTTTAATATTTTCTTACTGGACATCAGTTATGTGAGTAATGTATATTTAAATAAATATGTTACAACTAAAACCCACAAATCAAATAAAGCTAGGATTAACCAGATAAACTAATTTTATTCATGTTTTCTGGTTAAAGCAAGTAACAATATTTTCTTTTTTAGCTTGATTCAAGTCATAAGCAGATATAGCTATTATCCAAAAATGGATGGATAAAGCAAAAACAAAACTGAAGATTTATGTTTTATCCAGGTAATGTAAAGTTTATCCTACTGTTGCATGGAAAGAACTGAATGTAGATGTTGTTGTTCCACAGGCAAGAGAATTTTGTTTTTTAGCTGTTACTTGCATTATGTGGAAAGAGGAAAATGTTGCCAGTTGACAATAGAAGAACAATTTTTTAAAATCTGATGATTTTTCATACCTGTGATTAACTTCTTAAAAGCACACTTGTAAACTCCAGGATTACATTATATTTATAAATATAGTTACACACAAATACATAAATTAGTGTCTTAAAAGTTCTTTCAAACAATAGTGGATGAATTATTATTGATTAATATTAACAACATTTATAATTTATCCAGTTATAAACATCCAAACTGATAATTATATATTGAAGCCAAATGACTACTGAATTATATTGAACATATAATTCAGCAATCATTTGGCTTTAATTAACCCAGTGTCATTTGTCTACTAGCATTTTCTGTACTGTCTCTGACAACACGTTAATATATAATTGAAGAAAAAAGTTGCCAGAAATTTGAACTCTGCAAATAAATAAATAATCAAAACTAAACCTATTCAATCATTCAATTAAATCAAATGTTTTGTTCCATTAGATTTACAAAAGCCTTTTGAAGAAAAATAACATAAGAATATCACACATTACAAATTACATAATTCCCTTTGTTGAAAACACAATGGAGTATTAATTGAAGACACTAGACCATTCAATGAACACTCCATTATATTTTCAAAAAATTATACAAAGAGTATAGGCACAGTTCCAAATAATGATAAATAATTTCCATTAGAAGCAAGAACAAAGAATTAAAACATGAATTTTCCTTGTATACACAAACATTTTATATTTTTGTGATTTATGCATATAACCTATATTGTGAGACTACTAATAGATCTGCAACAAGTATAATGCAAATAAACCAAACAACTACCACATTTCATTGGACTACTTTTCAAAGGTTATATTTAATTAATTTCTAATCAGGCTTCAAGATGTTTGTATATGTATATGTATATACCATGCCCTGGGTTGAGCAATGGCCGATGAGTAGGAGTTTATAGGACGAGAACGCTAAAGGAATCCCCAGTCAGCACCATAAGTATCCGAGGATGGTTGTATCATAATTAAATTTGTCTGGAAGAGGAGATCGAACTGGAGACTTGGGTAACATAATTGGCAACGCATCTGCATGATAAGCAGAAGTTAAAAGTTTGAGTCCCACTCTGGGCTGATTCTTTTCTTCCAGAATATTCTAAATTATAATTATTAAATTTAATAAGAGATGCCACCTAACGCCTCCCTCTAGTAACAAATTATTTAGAAATTAAATATAATCACAGAAAAGGTGATGGTCAACTCTTCAGCCATTCTAATTGGCAAATATCTTGTATTAATATAATTGTACCTTGTATTTGTGCACAGATATTATTATTTCATCTTTATTATAATTTTTGTATAGGCCAAACTATAAATATTGTTAATTTTAAAAATTTGAATTTGTAATGTTGATCCATGTGATTCAAAAAAATTTTGTACAAACAATTATATTCAAATTGTCAGAACAACAAATGTTGTGGATCTGAAGATGGGATTGAAAATCCTGAAAAGCACTTAATCAGAATCAACGTATTGACTCCTAAACCTAAAAGTTTTCTTTCTAGTGATTATATCAACCTTTTACAGTTTTGAGTTGTAACTAATGTAGTTAATAGTAATGATAAACTTGCTACCGAATCAGAATGCATGCCATCACTTACTGATTCATATGAAATTAAATGTGTTATGTATTTATGTTACCATATGTGTAATAAAATTGATGTTACCCAATTCATTTTTGATAAATTGAATGAAATTGAACTAAAAGTTAATCATTTAGATATTGTTGGAAAGCATCAAATTATAATTACAAATTCCTTTAAATGAATAAAGAAATTTCTGTTTAATCATCAATAAAGTGAATTAGTTAATAAGGTGAACTTTTTGTTCAGAACAAAAGAGTTCACCTTATTAAGAATTTACTGTATATCTAAAATGCTAGAAATTCAATGCAAGCTGAGTAGTTTAAGCTGTGAAATTTCAGATGAATATTTGGAGTTGAAATTATT